TTGCCGTAGTTGCCTCCATTTTCACCAGCTCTAGGCAGGATTTACCTTCAAACCTTTTCGCCATAACCACTCTATAAGCTTGCCTTAACAATCACATCAATCCCACAGTTAATAAGTACAGCAATACCCAAATCCGGACTGTATTAATTTGCTGAGACCACTGCTGACACATTCCACCAGTTCCACTCGCTTTCGTTAATTCTCCAAGTAACCTAATTCCGAAAGGAAACAGTCGCAAAGGATCCTTAGAGATGATGATCATGGCAGTGGGTCATAACAATTGTCTGGGGTTTTTAGAGAGGGAAAAATGGAGAGGCGTGAAGGGGGTTGAGTTGCAAATGGTGATTTTTGAATTTTGACAAGTGAGAAAAGAAAGAGAAGATGCAAATGGCAAGAGAGGAATAAAACGAGGCTTTTGCCTCGGGCCCCTTAAAGCTAAAGCATCGTTCCTGTTTTTATGCATTTCATATAGACACACTTGATTTCTTTTGGTTTCCAAGACACAAAAAAGAGCTCCAAGACACAAAAGAATTTTACCTAAAAAAAAAACAAATTCTTACAAAATATGCATGTGCACTGCACATGGGAGGACCACCATGTTTTGGCAATCTCCATTCCCACTTTATATACATTCTTTAAATTTAAATAAAACACAGGAGAAAGAAATTAGAAAATGGGAGGAGGAGTCTGAGCCATACATTTTACCAACAACCTCGAGTTCTTCTTGACTGCTTCACTTATTACAATGGCTTCATTACCACTTACCAACCTCAAATTTGGCGGCTTTAGTTGGACGGTTTCCGATGTCAATATCTGGTTTTGATACCCTTTGACGTTGTAGTTCCGATTGACTTGCTAAATACATCTTGAACAAACTACACATTAAAACCTTGCAGACTATACATCTCAATTCAGAATGCAAAGATTTTGGAAATACAAAAATTTTAAAAGAAAAACAAAAGCAATTGGTGTTGCTGGTGGAATCAGAATCTATTTTCCTCGTTGAAGCATCTTTTTCTTTTCTTTGTTTTCTTGGTGAATAAACATCTATTAAGGAACATCTAGATTCCATAATATTTGCTACAAAAATAAAAAAGTGATTCGTGAATTAGCGTACCAATCAGCCTACCTCCCCCTTTCAAGTTTCAACCCCCTCAAAGGACCGGAAATCATCCTTCCGAGTACCCATTCAAACCTGACAAATGACCTTGCTTGGATGAAATTACACCGACTCTTCCGGCTTTAATGCTTCGCCGTCTTTCCTATGCCTTCTTGCCCAAGGACCTCAACTATAAATACAGCGCACATCAAGGACGACCACATCCTCTATTTCTTTCATATTACAGTCTAGAGGCCAGCCACTTCTAACCTCATCTCTTTTTTTTCCCCCTCCAATTCACAATTTTTGTCCCATGGCTAAGGATGATGTGAAATTGATTGGTGCATGGCCTAGCCCCTTTGTGAATAGGGCTCAAATTGCACTAAACATTAAGTCCGTTAAATACGAGTTTCTTGAGGAAAAATTTGGTTCCAAGAGTGAGCTCTTGCTCAAATCAAATCCTGTTCACAAAAAAATTCCTGTTATGATTCATAATGACCAGCCCATCTGTGAATCTTTGGTCATTGTCGAATATATTGATGAGGTCTGGAGCTCAGGCCCTTCAATCCTTCCCTCAGATCCTTATGATCGTGCCACTGGTCGCTTCTGGGCCGCTTACATCGATGACAAGGTATCCTGTTCTTGCCCTGCTTTCTCTGTTTTATATAAGACTGCGTTCAGCTCTGATCATGCCTGTCATCGTGATATTACAATTCCCTTTTAAATCGACAAATAGAAAGATGTAAAATTGTCCTTTTGTCTTGTTATATTTCACAAGATGACACTGTTTGGAATGGCTGATGCAGTTGTTTCCGGCTATCAGAGGCATAGGAACGGCTGACGGGGAGGAAGCCAAAAAAGCTGCGATAGAGCCAGTGATCGAAGGGTTGGCGTACTTGGAAGAGGAATTTATTAAGAGCAGCAAAGGCAAGAATTTCTTTGGTGGAGATAAAATTGGATATCTGGACATCGCGTTCGGCAGTTTCTTGGGGTGGATAAGGGTGACGGAGAAGATGAATAGTGTGAAGTTAATTGATGAAAGCAAGACACCAAATTTGTTCAAATGGGCCGAGAAATTCTGTGCTGATAATTCTGTCAAGGATGTTATTCCAGACACTGATAAGCTCTCGGAGTTTGCTAAGGTTCTGATGGCCAAACTCAGAAATCCTCAGAACTGAAAGTAGCAACTGCATCTGCATCTGCATGTGGTTGAGAATTGAGATGTGTCTGGATTTTATGTTATGTTTTCTTGTCGCGAGTCCAATTGATCAATAAGAAAGTGATGTAATAGTTAATTCCTCTTAAAACTTCCAAGTGAATTTCATTTTCAACCAAACAAACAATCTATATCTATATATGTATTAGAGAACAGGTTTTTGAGGAGGAGCTTCCACAAACGACAGAAATCTAAATCCCCTTTTACTATAATTTTAGATTTATTTTAATTCAATAACTCTTATCTTCTCCTTATCCCTTCTTGCTCTTCAATTCACGTGATCCACTAATTTACAAAATCAAAACTCCTAAATTTTAACTAATAGGCAATAATCACCCCTATAAAATGATATCTGCACAAACATATATAAACTCTTATAATATAAACTAAAATTGTAAAAAATTAAGATGACCAACTTTATTTTACACAAATATTTACACAATATGAATTAAAATTTTAAAAACGTAGGGGGGGCTATGGCCCCTATTAGCCCTCCTTAGTTCCATCATTGATTTTAATGGCATCTCAGTTTCAAACTTGCATAATTACAAAGTAAAAAACAACTAATCACAAAACAAATCCTACACTGTAGTGATCCCACTGAAATATTTTAAAAGGTTCAGCAAGTTCACTTCCAAGAAATACAAGTTTCGCTGAACATTTTTTTATAGTACGAACTCCACGAAATTCAATAAAATTAATTAAACCACCAATATTAATTTTCATACTAAAAGTTAATTAGTGTAAAAAATGTTCGCATCTTTGTACAGGATTATCAAATCAAATGCATAATATTTGTAAGTACGTCATTTTGAAATCAAATAAAATATGCAATTACATTTATTTCTATCCATATATCATTTATTTTCTAATATAAATTTTTATTATTATTTCAAGATCCATCTTTTATAAAAACGCAATTCTTGAATGATCTACACATTTTGTCATACTTTGAACTATTGTTAGACAAATTTTATATTTTAATAATGTTGGTACAATTTTTTTTTAACTTTTTTCAAAATTATCATTTCTTTTAATTTCTTTCAATAACGTGAGTATCGTGCATAGGTATTCATACTAGTTATTCATGTACGTGAAATATATAACACACATGGGCCTCGAAAATCAAAGCACAAATTAAGCTTCCCACAAGTACAAGCACCTATTACACTTTGCGTCGTATAATTAGCCATAGTTCGAACAACATTTTGGGTTAGAAAACATCATCAAGACATCTTAAAACCCGCAGAAAAATATGAGAGAGTGCTTGAGACATCTTCGAACAGCTTGCTAAATAAAAGAGAGAGAGAGAGAGAGAGAGAGGCCACTCTGCGTATAGCATGCAATTAAAAAAAATGGGATTCTTTCGTTTAAGAATCCATGGCATGGGAAGCAACCTCTTCAAGAAAGAATGAACAATGAAGGGATTCCCCCAGCTGCAGCCGAAAATGCAGGATCAACTTTGCGCCTGAAAGAAAAAGATTCCCCCAGCGGGAATGGGGGCAGGTTTTTTTGGAGGAGTTAACCGGCGTCGTCAAAGAGAGCACCCCAGTTGTCGCATCGCCTTCGACTTAGAATCTTCTCGCGGCTGACCCTACCATCCCCAGTCCCCACACTGAAGAAAACAGAACTGATAAAAAGGGCTGCCGCTTAGTTCTAACGAAAATGGTGAGTTGTCGTTCTCTCTGTCCGACATCAGTTACGACGGCGTAGAACCAGACACTCAAAAAATCCAAAAAAATATATAAATACATATATTAGCCACACGACCCAACTTTTTTTTTTTTAGAAAAAATAATGATGAGACTTTCACTATTATAAATAAAAATAATACGATGAAAATGATAATTGAAGTGGTCATTATATATTTTAAAAAAAGTGTGATTAACATCTGGAAGAAAAGAGAGAATTGGATCCTTAATTCACATACATGACCTGTATGCATACGTGACAAGTTTTCTTCTTTCAAAAGAAAAGAGAAAATTGGATCCTTAATTCACATGACATATATGCATACGTGCGTATCAAACTAATGATGATCTTACACGTAGAAATTCTTTATTCTTTTTTTTTTTATCGCAACGATAGGGTTTTTATAACCTAAACTAATCTATTTTAAGGGTAGGCGAAGGGAACTCAATGTGAATAAAAATTCTATCGAAAATGATTCAATAAGACCGTCACATATTATGATAATTTTTTGTGATAATTTTTCGTGAGAGACAAAGTTCAAACTCTTAGTCCTCGAAATTCTCCGTTCAAAGTTCCGCAATTTTCGACATGAAAAGCTGGTTTTACTAGATTCCAATCTTTTGGGCACGGTGCCGTACTGGTGATCAAACCAACCAAAAAAAAAAAAACAAAAGTGACATAAACTTCTCTGCCTTTTTGATATGATGAATAAAAATGAAAAAAAAAAAAAAAGAACCTGGGGAAGAAGCATCTCCGTTTTTTCTGTAGTACTACTACTCATCGTCATTGTCAACCGTGACATAAACGTAATTGCATTCGCATCCGCCAGCTCCTGATACCAATCGTCATTGCTGACACAATAGCATCCCAAAAAAAAAATTGACTGACCAAATCTTGACTTAAATAATACCAATACAATATGCCATGCCATCAGTAGTTGTTGTCCAGCAGGAAAGTCAAAATTTTCCTGAAACTTTAAAGAACAGTTACTCATCACCAATCCGACGTCTCTTGCAAGCTTCGTAGCTACTAGTATAAATATTACTATTATACTTCAGGAACTTCACCCCTAAATATTCTGCAAAGTGAAATTTTCAGCTTATTTTTGTGTTTGAAGGAGATTTGAAAAAAAAACAAAAAAAAAAAAAGGCTCTAAAGAAAACTAGCCATGGCAGCAAGTGATGTAAAGCTTCTTGGTGCACGTCCGAGCCCATTCGTGAACCGGGTTCAGTTTGCCCTCAACCTCAAGTCAATAGACCATGAATTCATCCCACAAAACTTGGCAGAGAAAAGCGAGCTCCTTCTTAAATCTAATCCTGTTCACAAGAAGGTCCCAGTACTCATCCATGGTGATCAGCCCATCTCCGAGTCACTTGTGATTGTGCAGTACATTGATGAGGTCTGGTCTGGTCCTCCCTCTCTCCTTCCTTCTGATCCCTATGACCGCGCCACAGCTCGCTTTTGGGCCGCTTACATTGATGAAAAGGTACCGCTATAAGTTCTCTTGCTTCATCACTCACTCCCCTCCCTCTTTTCAACATCACATATATATATACACACGCGACTTTTTCTGCATATTCGTCAGTTGTCATGTACTTCTACTACATTCTAAGAAAAAGAGTCAATGGGTTTAATAAATGTGGCAGTGGTTTCCATTGGTGCGGGATCTTAGAAATGCAACGGACGAGCAGTCAAAAGCAGCTGCAGTGGAGAAATTATTTGAAGGCTTAAAATTGTTGGAGGATGCATTTGTGAATTCAAGCAACGGGAAGGGCTTCTTCGGTGGAGAAAAATTAGGTTATCTTGATATTGTTCTGGGTTGCTACCTGGGATGGGTAAGGGCTGGAGAAATATTTACAGGTTTGAAAATACTGGACGAAACCAAGACACCAGCCCTGGTGGGATGGGCTGAGAGGTTTGCTTCTCATAAAGCTGTGGATGGTGTTATACCCGAGCCTGAGGAACTCGTTAACCTTATCAAAATGTTCCAAGCTAGGGCCGCCGCTGCTGCTGCTGATGCTTCGACAAAGTGAAAAAGGCCCATCTTTTAATGAGCCCATGAATAAGGCCCAAGTGGTCATCATTTTTTCTTTTTCTTCCCTTGTTTTTGTTGTTGTTTGGATTGTGCGAGAATAATTGTAAGGGGGAAGCTTCCTTTCCCAAATGCAAGTTGTAATGGGCGAGCTTCCTTTCATAAATGGAAGTTCTCTCCTTTTTTTAAAAAAAATATTATTTCTTCTGATTCCAATTTTGTGGGATGACCTATGAAAAAGTTTTTTTCCTTTGGTTACATTGCTCCTTGCTGAAAGTTAAAATCAAATTATTTCCTTTCTTTTCTTTTTATAAATTGATAATCCAATCTGGAGGAAGATCAGAAAGGAAATTTGATTAAAGTGGGGAGGGGCTCAAGAACTCAGCACAGGGCATTAAGTGTAACTTCAAGTAGAAATTTGCAAGTAAACTGGCGTTGCTGCACTTTGTGGCCCAATTCCCACATTTGACGGTGTCCAACCGCTTTATGAGCCCTCTTCTGGGTTATTCTGCTCAATGTAACGCATTTGTCCATTAACCAATAACTGGTACAATAAAAGTTATAGCTTTGGATTCCTGAACGTCCACATCTTTAACATATGCTTTATTCCAAATTGCCAAGACTGGACAAATGAACAGGCGAAGTCTCGCGCCTTTTAAAACTAGGAACTAGGATAAAATGGGGACCCGGTCAAATATCACACGACAAAGATAACTGGCACGGGAACAAGGATACAAGGACAGCTTACGTTGTTGGAGTCCGCTCGCCGCTTCCACCTGTACCTAAGCTCCTTTTCCATAACTGTAACCCAACCCATCCAAACTGAAACTGGAACCACGCTACCCTGTTACCTTTCTAAGTCAAGCTGGCAGAGGAGAAAGATCCTCACAGATAAAGAAATGGAAGGTGTGAAACTGGATCAGTGGGGTTATGAAGTGAAGACTAGTTCGGATGCCTGTATAGCTGCTATCAACTCTTATTATCATCAGGTCCTTTGATTTTGTTTTTTTCCTATCTGGGTTTTTTCTCCTGGCAATTTTACATAGTGGGTTCTGCATATGTTTTACTATGCCATGATATGAAAGGTTGAACTGAATCTTTAGGTACTTAGCTATGGAAGAAGAAGGGATGTGATTTTGGAAGCTCCTAAAGCCGACCCGGATTGTGTTTTGGGAAATATTTTGGCAGCTAGTTTTCTCTGTTCCTTTGATCCTTCTAGAGTTCCTACTTTCCTTGATGCTGCAAATTCTTGTTTAGTATGACTTTCCTTAATTTATTTACTCTTTTATTTCTTTTTATCTTTCTTGGTTTTTCGTCAAAATTTGCATAGTTGTTGTTGATAATGTCGTAGGACAATGCTAGTGGATACGAGAAAGCAGTTTTTGATGCTGTTAGTTATTTCATTTCGCCAGATAGAGATGATGATGTTGCTGTTGATTTACATTCTACGGTACACTCCTTTTTCCTCAATCAGGTTCATTTTTTCTTTTAAGGCCTGGTTTCAGTATGATTGGTTGCAAATTATTGACGCAGGCCGTTGTAATTGTTCCTGTAAACGTAACTATTGAGCTAATGGGACTTTGCTTTTGAGTTTTTCATGAATGGACAATTCCTCTCCTAAGGGTGATTTTTGACATGCTAAATTTTGCAAGGAGATATTTGACTAAACTAAAGAGATGCTCTGCAACTTTTTGCTTGCATAATTTAGATCAGAAAGAATAAATCCAAATAATCAAATGTATGGAGTTCTTTTTACGTAGTGGTTACTTAGGAAGCTTATTTACCAGTTGGAAATGTTATTTGCTCTTCTTGAAACTGCAGTTTCTATGATTTGAAGTGGTTTCAATCTTTTCTCTGCCTGTACCTTTTCCAAAATGGAATGGTGTTTTAAAGTTATGCTCTTGTAGTTAAATCACATGTCTTGCATATTTTTATTGCTTGAATGGCTGTGCTGTAATGCATTTGTAAGAATCCATTCTGTACATAAAGAAGCAACGTTGTACAGGATGAAGGCTCATCAATTAAGTTTGCCTTTGATCAATTTAATATCTGGTATATGTGTGTATAGCACATATACCACGTTTGGTAAATAGCACGTTTGGTAAATACACGTTTGGTAAATACAGTCGATGTTGTTTTGCAGTTTTTGAAAGATTATCCAAGAGATCTATTATCTCTGAAGAGGGCACAGGTGCTGTGCTTCTATATGGGTCGACCTGATCTATCTCTGCAACTTGTTCAACAGGTTGTGCCCAATCAGCTTCTCTATTTTCTTTTACCAATGATAGTCATCAAGAATACCTTATCAACTTTGTACATAGAAATTATCACACACGTTTGAAAACATTGTTGCCAAACACGGGAAACATGGAAGGTGATTGAATATTTTGTAATGTCCATGTGTTGATTGAAACTTATCTCTTGTACGGTTAACAGGTTCTATCAAAAAATGAAAAAGCAAATTTCATTTATGGCATGCTTGCTTTCCCTCTGCTAGAGCTTGGTCAAATGGTAGATGCTGAGAAAGCTGCTAAAGAGGGATTTGAAATCAACAAGGAGGATCCTTGGACTCAACATGCTGTAAATAAAATATAATACATCTTTCTCTTTTCAGTCTTTCGCATGCATCAATGAGAAATCTACTGCCTTTAACATCTTGAATCCTCATATTCTATTTCCATTAATAATAAATTTTTTAATGAGTATCATTTTCACATCGTTGGCCTATTTTGCATTGCCAATCTTCATTAAACAGAAAGTTTCAATTTTCTGTCAGCTCCTTCCTGGTAAACTCCCATCTTTCCATTATGTTTTGATGGTAACTATTTCTAATTTTTGTTAATCATATGATTATTGACTCATATTTTAGTGCTCTTGCTGAATTGGGAAAGAATAAAAAATATACTGGTTTGGAGGCTAATATAATTTTAAAACTCTATAAACTAATAGTTTATTCAAGTGGTGTAGTATTTTGTTTAAGAGTTTCCATTTGTTATCATTTGCTTGAAGTTTGTTTTGTTGACATCAGACTTGACTAGTTCTTTTAATATGAACCTTGCTATATGGACTTTGCTGCAGCTCTGCCATGTTTATCAATATGAATGTCATTTCAAGGAAGCAGTGATATTCATGAAAGAATGTTCACAATCATGGAGTCCTTTGTCGTCGTTTATGTAAGTATGATACGACAGAATTCTCTACTTCATTGCTACGATTCTTTAGATGCCTGAAGAAAGTTGTTTGTCAGGCGCACTCACAATTGGTGGCATGTTGCTCTTTGTTACTTGGAAGGTAATTCCCCAATTGACAAGGTAGCAGAGGTCTATGATGAATGTATTTGGAAAGAATTGGAAAGAAGTGATGCCAGTCCAGTCGAGGTATGTTGAATGTATTTTCCTCCCCAAGCCTCTTCAATGTTTCCCAGATTCTAACTCTGATTTCATGCATGCAGGTCTACCTTAATGCTGTCAGTTTATTGTTGCGGATATATGTAAGAGGTTATATAAAAGTTTTTGAAGATCGTCTGAAGGTCTTAGCAAAATGTCTGACTAATAAAGTAAGGAAAAGTTTTCTGTAATCAATTTTCTTTTTGACTTGTGATTAAGTGCTTTTTTTTGCCCCCCTCAAATTCATGGGTGTTCAATATTTCGTTGTCAGTTATCCATCTTTATTTGCTTGATTTATCATCTCAGTTGTTAACTTAATTCATTTTGTCTGTTTCTCCTCTACTTAAATACGCATGTTCATTTTTGTCTGTTTCTCCTCTACTTAAATACACATGTTAACCTTCGAGTGGTTTGAACAACGTGTTATGATGTACTCCTGCGATTTATTTAGGCCTACTGGTATCTCGAGTGGCACCTTGATGTGTTGATAGTGTGGGCTTTAGCTTATACTAGAGAGATTTCTAAAGCAGAAGATCTTTTAACAGGATTGAAATCCAGGTTTAGGATTTCCTCTGATGATTTCTTGCATATAGTTTGTCAATCACTTCACTGCAACATCATTTGTTGCTTCTATTCTGCAGGCTCTCTCTGATGTCAAAGAAGAAGCAACAGCGGATGCAAAAAGGGATGCTGGTTTGTTCCCATTTCCTCCTCCATTTCACTCTCCGATTTGCTATGGTCTTTTTTATGTACATGCATTTGGAATCATGTACTTTTTGTCATATTCCTCTTTCAACTTTCATTTGTGATTTAATTCTCCTACTCTAGCTTGCAGAAGCACTTTACGAGTATGGGAAGGGTGAAAACGAAAAGGCCCTAGAATTGCTTGGACTTCAATTTGATGCAATTGACTGTAAGGTAATGTGGAGAGGGGGAGCCATTTGGGCTTAGCTTCATCTCTATGTACTTACAAAAACTTATTTATGATTAGGCTATTGGAGCATCAGATGAACAACTTGATGTTTTCAACGAAATTTGGATCATCTTGTTGATCAATGGAGGAGAAACTACCAGAGGTATGCCAATTTCTGACTGATCAATGTTTGTGGTGCCTCATTTCTTTAATTAGTGTTGTCAATTGCAGCAACTGAAGCAATTGAGAAGCAGTTAAAGAAGAGAGAAGGAGCCCCATTCTTGTGGCGCCTCTTGGTACGCCTCTGTTCACCACTTAAACCATCCGCTTGAGCAAAATTTTACCGAGTTGTGAGCATTCTCAATTCAATACACATACTGATCTTACTGTCTTTTTGGTGTTGCCTTGTTTTTCCAGGAAAAATGTTACCATACATTAGGAAGGCCAGAAGCTGCGAGCGTTGGAGAGAAAGCCAGTGCATTAGCGGTCGCGTACTTCACATAGATGGTTTAGATGGACGTACATCCTTAAATGCTTAGCATTGGCTGTTGAATATTGTCTTGGACAATTTTTTAAATGAATGCCCAAAAATGCTCTTGTGGAATGAGTTTGAATTTATTTCTATACAATTATAAGATTATTTAGTATAATTATAAGAAAAATGTGTCAAAATTTTCATATCCATATCTATTATTTGATAAAAAATTATAATAATAATTTTATTACTATGATATGATATTTTTTATAGTATTTTATTATATATTTAGATTTATAAGATAGAAAGGAAAATGTTGAAATAATTCATTTAAAATTTATAAGTTTTTGAAATAGTTAGATTATCATAATTTAGTAGTGCTTTTGGGTCATTTCTTTTTTATTTTGGGTAAAATACAAAAAAGTCCACTGTAGTAAATCTAATACAAAGAAAAGTTTCTCGTGATTTTAAAATATACAACACGAC